TCTGTCTGAGATTACTTATCCACAGGTCTATTAGCCTGCATTTTTCCTCAACTGAATTTAGTTTCATTTTCTGATCTCTAGGTTCTTTTGCATTTCTCTGTCCTCCTCCAACTCCATGAATTTAACATAATCCACAAATAGTTAACCTGGGGGAGTAAGCAAAAGCATCCTCACTCTATAGAGAATTAAGTGATTTTTCTCTCTAGTTCTTTAACTTTAATCAACATTTTTCTGACTTTTGTCCTGGGTCTTGGAGCTGCCTGACCAACTAAACTGTGATTTATAAAATCTTTCAGCTAACTCGAAATCAATCCCTTTAATACTCCTGATGCAGCTGCTTCTCCCTATTGTACTGTGCTACTTGCCAGGAATGTTGATGTTCCAAAAAAGAGTATGATACAAGTTCCAAACAAAATACAAACGCTCCCCGGGTTACGCAAATCCGCACTTATGGAAAAAGTTCCGTAAGCTAGAAATTTGTGGAGTTCCTTTTTTTTATTTTATTTATTTATTTATTTATTTTTTGGCGTAATGGTCGGGTATATGTTCCCGAGTTACGCAAGGCATTCCGGAATGGAACGCTTGTGTAAGTCTGGGAGCATCTGTATGGCCTTTTTCTGATACTGCTAGAAAATTACAAAACTTTCTTTTCCTGGCCACTGTGCTCCCATTCTCCTCTGGGGGTTGGACTCTGTCTGGACTACATGTTCAATGATGCAACACTTTCTCCCATCTTGGTGAGGGGAGGTGGTGTGTTTATAGGAGTCTATGGCTATGGGGCATTGTCGGAAATATAGACTGGCCAGAAAGCGAAACCCATAGAGGAGAGTGGGATCACTAGGCATCAAAACTACACTCCCCATGACGCAATGAAATGTCACTTTGTATCAAAGTATTTTGCTTTATAGATGAAAACTGTTTCCTTCCCAATTTTCCATATCCTTTCAAAAATTGTCAGTGGTACAGTATCAGCAAACTTTCTTAATATCCTAAAATTCACATCAGCTGGACCAAGTGATTATTTTTAAGATTTCCCTGTATTCTCTACTCTGCTCTTTACCATTAGTTACAGGGATTGTCTTGTTGGAATATTTTTTCCCCTCCCTCTTAAATATAGATTTTAAGGACTTCAGTATTTCAGCCTTTTAAAATCATAATTACATTCATTCTGCTCCCCTGCATCCTCCCCATTTTATTAATTGTCCTGAAAATTCATTGTCGTCTCCTCTCTCAAATGCAGTCAAACAAGCCATGCTGCATCCTAGTATGGTCTAAGCTGGAAGAGCTGGACAGGGAGAGCAAAACACATGTCCGTTTCTGAAGCCACCCCAAACCTCTCCATTAGCTAGGGTTGCCAGGCGTCCGTTTTTTTTACCAGAATGCTGGGTCAAAAAGGGACCCTGGCGATGCCGGTCAACACCACTGACCAGGCTGTTAAAAGTCTGGGTGGCAGCACAGCGGGGCTAAGGCAGGTTCCCTGCCTGTCCTGGCTCTGTGCTGCTCCCGGAAGTGGCCAACATGTCCCTGTGGCCCCTAGGCGCAGGGGTGGCTGGGGATGCTCTGTGTACTGCCCCCACCCCAAGCGCCAGGTCCACAGCTCCCATTGGCTGGGAACTGAGGCCAATGGGAGCTCTGGGGGCAGCACCTGCAGGTGAGGGCAATTCACAGAGCCTCCTGGCGGTCCCTCTGCCTAGGAGCCACAGAGACATGCCTACACCCCTCACCCCATCCTGTACCCCAGACCAGAGCCCCCTCCTGCACCCCAAACCCCTGGCCCCACCCTAGAGCCTGCACTCCCAGCAGGAGCCCACACCCCAACCCTCTGCCACAGCCCGGTGAAAATGAGTCAGTGAGCAAGGGTTGGGGAGAGCGAGCGATGGAGGGAGTGGAGGACGGAGTGAGCAGGGGACAGGGCAAGGGTGTTCAGTTTTCTGCAATCAGAAAGTTTGTAACCCTACCATTAGCTGCTTCACATGTTGCACCACGTCTACCCCAGATACTGAGACCTTGCTGATACACTAACACTGCTTTACTAAAGAGTGACCACATGTGTTCATACCAGTTTATTTTGGTTTAGCTTAAACCTGTTCCTAGTTGAAAAAAGTGTTCATTCAGCCTTAGCATCTGTTCAGCTAAATGGCATCTTCAGTTAAACCAGTGCAACTCTGCCTGTAGACAAGCCTGCACCAACTGTCACCTCTGGGAAGACTAGGACATAACCACTCCTTGGTCATATGACCCAGCCACATCTCCTCATGCCCACAACTCAGCTCCTCCCCTCTTCCTTCTCTACCTCCATGACTCAGCCTCACCTCCTTCCTATCCTCCCAGCCCACGTGACCTAGTCTTCCTCAATGTAGTTCTTTAGTACAAAGAATGTTTAGACTCTTTAAAACTTCCAGTAGCAAAATAACTCCGCCACAGTTCTGAATGTGGCATATTCACATTTCTGAATTTCAAAGCTGAATATGTCTTTCCTGGTACTGTAATAACCACAACGTGAATGTAAAAACACAAACAAGCTCCGCACCCCATAGTGAGGGACAAAGGAGACATACCTTCCGTTGGATGGGTATGGCTTTTTAGCCCTTCTCTCCTCATGGTGTCTGTCAGATCCGTGGCTCTCATAATATCGGTGTTGCTTATTGCGGTGAGGTCTCTCAGCATGAGACATCTTGTTTCTCACATGTATTTCTTCTTGCTGAAATAATCTTTTGAATTAGAGAGAGAACCAATTCAGTTTATAGTTCTAATTACTCATTGACCAGCATTTGCACAACACGATCACCCTGTGCTAGTTAAGATTTCAGTAAAGGTGATTGAGAAGTACAGGGGTGGGGGGAGGGGAGGAAAGCAGTACTTCGTCCATGAGTAGGATGTAGCTTCTCAAAAAGGAAGTAAGTTCTCTTTTTACTTTTCCATTGCCAAGTAACTTTGCCTTTTCTATGTTCAACGGTACAGGTATTTAAATGGATTCGTCTTCTCTCCTAGCCTGATTACAAGGACAATGCATAGCATCCTCCTGTATTCTTCTATAAAGCATCTCTTAAGACTCACATAATGGTGTCTTTTTGTATAAGACATTAAGCATAGAAAATGCTCACCTACCTATTTAGGTCTGCATTGTGTGCATATGTGGTTTCCACTGACTTTACTAAGAGCCATGTACAGCTGAGAGCAAAATTTAGCCCTTCTAGTACGTTTAAGAAAAGAACAGAAATTAATGCAATGCCCTTTAAATAAAGGGTTATAGTTCTGGCTATAGCTTAGGTTATGTGCCCAGCCCCACCCCCCCAAAAATCCCAACTATTAACATGGAGATAAGATAGAGAGTACATTATCCTCAGGTATTTTGAGTAAAATACATTAGAGGTGTGGTAATTATCCTCCAACAATCAATGTTATTCAGGAAATTCAAATGTAAGGTTAACGTTAAAGGAATCACAAGGTGTTAAGGCTTGGAACTATGCAGTTACTTCACACCAAACAACCTTAATGCTGCCGTGTAGGGATACCATGTAACAACTAGACAATTGTGATTAATGCATAAATGTTTACAGACCCACATTAGATGTAAGTGATTTATAAAAACTTACCCTCTGGCCTCCCCTCCCCCACATTTTTTCCCTGGTGGTGGCAGTGAAGGAAGGAGTTAAGGTTGTATGGCTGACAAATGGGGAACCACCATCTTCCCTGAAGGCAGGGAAGGGCTTCACTTCCATTTTTCTCGAAGGAATGCTATGACCAGTTTGAAAGTGGGCCATTGTCTTTCCTGAGGGCAACTCGTGGCCTCACTTTCAGTAAGAACAAAAGGAGATTGCAGCTAATTTGAAAGATGGGCCCTTTGTGGAATTCTTTGCTGAAGGAGAAACAGTTATAAAGTGGCAAAAAATGACCACAATTTCTTCTAATGTAGCCAATGCATGAGATTTCAACTTTTAATTATGAGAAATTTGCATTCTTCCATTAAGATTATGCAGGCTGTGTGCACACACTCAGAGAGACACAGGATGATAAATGTAAAGTTCTCACTTGAAAATTAGTTTTATCAAACTAATTACCTTTGTGTACATGTACAGTTTCAGAATATTAATTCTATACTCAGCCTTAGTGCTGTAGTTTTGGGGAGCATATACTGTGCCTAGGGTGACCAGATGTCCTGATTTTATAGGGACAGTCCTGATTTTTGAGTCTTTTTCTTATACCCCCCACCCCCATCCCAGTTTTTTACATTTGCTGTCTGGTCACCCTAACTGTGCCTGAATCCTTTGCTGTGGACCTACAGTACCCTACCGTGCCCTGGTTCCCAACTCTGCCCAGTTCTGACTGTGTGATCTCGGACAGTTGACTTACATTTCTTGGCTCTTTAATTTCCTCACCTGGAAAAGGGATATACTAATTTTCACATCTACTAGTCTGGATTCCTAGTCCAAAATTTCAACCCCATAAGCCCCTTTGAAGTGGAAAATGCCCCCTCTCCCGCTGCATGCCACCCGTTTAGCCTGGTCCTCTGGTAAACAAATAACACAAAGACAACAGGTGCAGGACTTCGAATGGGTCACACCTACCTCTTCCCCAACCAGCAGGGGCCACTCTCAGAGAGATTACAACCCAGCCCCAGCCTCCCCCCCCCCCCAATCCCCACCATATAAGACCCCGGCCATGCTCTAATCCACAAAACCCCCAGCCTCTAGATCCCTGTCTGCACAGTCTCCTTAGCCCAGAAAATCCAGACCCAACCCCATGCACTTCTCCTGACCCTCCCCCCACCCCCGATTTCTCTCCCTTACCCCTCTTTAAAAGAGTATTTAAAGCGCCTCACTTGTCTGGCGGCGGCAGCAGCACCAGGGGCCTCTGAGCGAGTGGGTTTAGCTGAAGTTTCCTCCCTGGCTGCTCCCCTGGGCCTCCCTGTTTTCCACTGCAGGCCCGTGGAGTTGCATTTCCTTGTGTGTGCAAGGCCGGGGGAGGGGAGGAGGACGAGTCTCCCAGGTGGAAGACAGGTCACCGCCCCTCCCCGCGGCTCTCCGCTCTTGCGAAGGCTGGAGTTTGCTCACCGGGGAGTTTCGCTTCACACCGCGCTGGCTTCGTGCCCTGCGCGAGGTCACAGCAGCAGGGGAGCTCGCTGCTGAGGCCAAAGGTGGGTAGTGAGGGGGGACCAGGCAGCCTGAGACTGGGGACGTTGTTAATCTGCCAGGGAAAGCAGGAGTAAAACAGCATCCTACCTGTGCAATGTGCTGCCACCCAATAATTAGGACACACGTGGCTGTAACCTGGGTGCTTAATTAGAGTGTAGTGTAGTGCCTTAATTGATATTTATACCTTCTCTCGCTAGTATTTATACAGCGTTTGGGAGCGGCTGCTATGTAGTGATATTTATGCCAAATATGTGGGGATATTCCTTCATTTTCTCAGCAGTAACTAATGGGGGGGAGACACAACAGAGCAGGCCTCAAGAGTTGGGAGTAATTAATTCCCCATTTTTACCCCAGCTCTGGCCCCTATTGCTTTGCACATTTAAACAGTCTCTTTTGGGGCAGTGGGTCTCAACCAGGGGTACGTATACCCCTAGGGGTACGCAGAGGTCTTTCAAGGGTACAGCAACTCATTTAGATATTTGCTTAGTTTTACAACAGGCTACATGAAAAGCACCAGCGTATCAATACAAACTAAAATTTCATACAATGACTTATTTATACCACTCTATATATGGTACACTGATATGTAAGTACAATATTTATATTCCAGTTGATTTACTTAATAACTATATGGTAAAAATGAAAAGTAAGAAATGTTTCAGTAACAGTGTGCTGTAACTACTTTGTATTTTTATGTCTGATTTTGTAAGCAAGTAGTTTTTAAGTGAGGTAAGAACATAAGAATGGTCTGACCCGGTACGGCCTAAGGTCCATCCAGCCCAGTATCCTGTCTACCAACAGTGGCCAATGCCAGGTGCTCCAGAGGGAGTGCACCTAACAGGCAATGATCAAGTGATCTCTCTCCTGCCATTCATCTCCACCCTCTGACAGACAGAGGCTAGGGACACCATTCCTTACCCATGCTGGCTAATAGCCATTAATGGACTTAACCTCCATGAATTTATCCAGTTCTCTTTTAAACTCTGTTATAGTCCTAGCCTTCACAACCTCCTCAGGTAAGGAGTTCCACAAGTTGACTGTGCGCTGCGTGAAGAAGAACTTCCTTGCATTTGTTTTAAACCTGCTGCCTAATAATTTCATTTGGTGGCCCCTAGTTCTTATATTATGGGAATAAGTAAATAACTTTTCCTTATCCACTTTCTCCACACCACTCATGATTTTATATACCTCTATCATATCCCCCCTTAGTCTCCTCTTTTCCAAGCTGAAGAGTCCTAGCATCTTTAATCTCTCCTCATATGGGACCCGTTCCAAACCCTTAATCATTTTAGTTGCCCTTTTCTGAACCTTTTCTAGTGCCAGTATATCTTTTTTGAGATGAGGAGACCACATCTGTACGCAGTATTCGAGATGAGGGCATACCATCGATTTATATAAGGGCAATAATGTATTCTCAGTCTTATTTTCTATCCCCTTTTTAATGATTCCTAACATCCTGTTTGCTTTTTTGTACCGCCTCTGCACACTGCGTGGACATTTTTCAGAGAACTATCCACGATGACTCCAAGATCTTTTTCCTGACTTGTTGTAGCTAAATTAGCACCCATCATACTGTATGTATAAAGAACAGGAGTACTTGTGGCACCTTA